AGCAATGTTAAGAAAACAAAGATTGGCAAAAATCTGGAAAAATAAGTTTAAAATTTGAGAAATGATTTTGATTTATATGAAATTTATATATAATGACAATAAATAGATTACATAAATATCTAGAATCCAATACACTAATGCACGCAAATAAAATTTTAATTTTATAAAATAATACTAACATTTAGAAATGTTATTGTCGATCATTCAATATAATGTAACTGAACTAAACTTGCATTGTTTTTTTGACTCATAAGGTGAAATTATTGCACAAAGATTGAAGGTCTTATTTGTACAGTGGGAAAATAATGTGTTATTCTCATTCCTGTATTTATGCATAAGCAAAAACACTTGTTGAAAATACGAATAATTGCAAAGAAAGAAAAATATTTAATGCTTGAGAATTCTATTTAATTTACGTTTTGAATTTGTGAAGATAATAATGATGTTGATAATATACGTCGTGTAATTTAAATATCTTTAATACACGTGGTAGTGAATAGAATATTTTTCAAGGATGTTTTATTCTGAGTATATTTATCAGATAATTATTTTTTAAATAAAATATTTATATTTTACAACCCTTCAGTTATGATTTAGAGTATCGAATGAAATATTTTTGCTGATGTTCACTTAAATATGTATATATAGAAGCAGATTAAACTTATTTTTATAGTTGCTGTCATTCCTTTAGTAGTTTTACCTCTATCTACACACAGACTTTTATAATTATGCTATATTGTATATACACATAAAATCAAATGTAAATTAAAAACATGTTACATCAAAAATATTTCTGTGATAAATATTTTCAAAAGAAATCATCTTTAAAAATATCGATACACATACATTACGCAAAATTCTAAAACCCACCCTCTTGTTTCCCTGTTGGCAGAGCTTCAAAATGCGTCTACGTGTTAATAGATGGCAGCGCAGTAATAGTAGCATTAAGTCATCGTTTTTTACGTTTTATCTGTTTGCTTGAAATATTTCATTAATAATTTTCTAAATTTTCCTCTAATCTTTAAATATGAAGTAAATTTTTGCATCTTTATTTTTTTAAAAAGTACACCGAAGTAAAGCAGTAAATAATAAGCTAAAAGAATGTTATCTAATATATAATCGAGACGGGTTGATGATAATGATAATAATAATAATAATAATAATATTAAGCGCAGAGCCCAAACGGTTAGGAGTTGAAAGTTAAAGTTTGATACACAGTTAGGGCACGTCACGAAAACGCACACTAAGAAGGGATTTTTCGAAATTTCTCCCCACGGGGGAGAGGGACAAGATTAAGGCTTAACACTTGCATCAACAATACAAGTGTTAAGTAACAATGAAAGTGTCAACAATGGAAGTGTTACATAACAATGGAATTGTTAAGAGAAAGCTACGTGCAAGACACAGATGCATTTTTTGTTTTTGTGGGAAATAGAACATTTTTTAACCGATCTAAAATTTTTTTAATTAATCTGGAAACAGANTAAAAGAATGTTATCTAATATATAATCGAGACGGGTTGATGATAATGATAATAATAATAATAATAATAATATTAAGCGCAGAGCCCAAACGGTTAGGAGTTGAAAGTTAAAGTTTGATACACAGTTAGGGCACGTCACGAAAACGCACACTAAGAAGGGATTTTTCGAAATTTCTCCCCACGGGGGAGAGGGACAAGATTAAGGCTTAACACTTGCATCAACAATACAAGTGTTAAGTAACAATGAAAGTGTCAACAATGGAAGTGTTACATAACAATGGAATTGTTAAGAGAAAGCTATGTGCAAGACACAGATGCATTTTTTGTTTTTGTGGGAAATAGAACATTTTTTAACCGATCTAAAATTTTTTTAATTAATCTGGAAACAGAGGGACTTAATTCTTGCATTCTTTGAAAACGGATAAGATTGGCTGTAACGTAATAATCTTAATCTTCGCTATCGTTACTTTTTGCCCGAGCAACGCCGGGCCTACCTGCTAGTTAATTATATTTTGCAGTTTTCTTTTTTTTGTTTGTTGCATTTAGATTGTGATGGTTTAATTATTTTTTACTGTTTTTTATTGACTGTTTTAAGACCAATTTACATTATAGAAGTTATAACAGTTATAAATAACTGAAAACTAATAAAAGAGCAGGGAAAAATTAATTACTCAAATTAGTAAAACAAAACAATAATATCCAAAGCAAAACATCTGAGTTGTAAAAAATATTTCGCAGAGTGGAAATTATGGCACCCGAAATGAAAGCAAATTTTCTTTTGAGCGCTTCTGTTTGATAAAGATAAGCTTGGTGCTTCGAAGCTATATCATAAGCCGTTACTTCCTAGGGCTATCCCACAATTTTATTACCAATGTTCGGTGATTTCAATTACGATCCTTTCATAATCCCCTTTTCAGACCATTTTTTTAATTTTTTCGAATTATTTACGATACGTACTTCTTGTTTTAACATAGAAATAACTTTTGGAAATTTTTCATCTTTAACAGTTGGATTATTTTCTTGTGAATGTATTTCATTCATATTTTATTTAACAAATTATGAAATTAATAAATATAATAAAATTAAATATATAAAAATAAAGACATCTGCATAGCAAACGTAATTTAATTACGAAATTAATTAAACTAGCAACGAGTTGATCAACTATCCTGGCAGGATTTAAAATTTTGGTAATGCCATAATTTACAGTGTAAACATTGAATANTAATATCCACTGAAGAGGCTAAAATAGCGAAATATATATGGATAATATAATAAAGTAAGAAATAGTGAAAATAATTCTCTGGTTTTCTCTGTTTTTTTAAAACTCTATCGAAGTCGGAATTAAAGAGTGAACGTCACTTGTGGTTCTTAAGGGTTTTTTTAAACGAAAAAATTTTTAGAATTTATTAATTTTAATATTTGTCTACACCGATCCCATTGTTTTTATTATTTATTTAATAGATGTGTAGATTTATTGAAAAGAAACAAGGTTGAGCCATCAATAAGCCGAATGCACAGCGAAGGTTGAGGTACGTCGATTATGCTGCTGTTGTGCAGATCATCTAAGCACAAAGGAAACATAGCTGAGCTACATATAAATTGAAAGCCCAGCGAAGTTAGAGTAGGTGAATTTCACTGCTTTGGAGCACATTGAATGAATTAAAGCTCTTAGGTACTTAAAGCCCACTTCACAATGCGCTTTAAAAAACCATAAAGCACTTTGCACGTTGTATTTGCACTTTGAAGCACCATAAAACACATGTTGCGCATTGAACTTTGGAGAACCATACTACTCCAACGAGTACATTGTAGTACTCGTTGTAGCATATTGCACATGTAGCAACATAAAACACTAGAAGCACCGTGAAATATTTACAGCACCACACAACAAATCAAAGTACTAAACATACTTAAAACATACTTAATGTGATTAAGTATGTTTAGTGTTTTGATTTGATGCTTATGGTGCTTTAAAAGCACCATAAGCATTATAAAGCATTACAAACACCATAAAACACTAGAGACACCATAGAAAACTAGAAGCACTGTAAAACATATCAAACATTAAAACATTAAGCACGTTGCACATTNTCGAATGTTTTGTTTGATTTTTTCGAATTTGTTCGAATTAAATTTGAACATAAAATTCGAATTGGTTCGATTATAGAAAGATTGAAAACGTTCCAGAAACGTTGAAATTTGTTCGCTTGACTAAACGTAAAAATTCTCTAATTAGTCTGGAAACGGGGGACCTAATTCTTGCATTCTGTGAAAACGGGTAAGATTAGCTATAATGTAATTATCTTAATTAATCTTCATTATCGTTACTTTTTGCCCGGCGAAGCGGGTCCTTGCAGCTAGTATTTTGTATAAAGTTTCATGTAGCCTATGTGTAATTTGCAAAAATTCTAATACACAAAAATCGATATAAATCGATATATTTATACATTAGTTAGATTTTTTTATTTTAAAAATTGTGAGATTGTTTTTTATAATTTGGAAATTTTCTACCCACGGTTGAGATAAATATTTTCAATCATTGATCCTGGGTCATGCCAGTTTTTAAATTTAAACGTTTTCTTACATTTTGCAAGTTTTACCTAAAAATTATTATTCATTAATTTAAATAAAGATTTACCAAAATCATTTGTCAAATCTTTTTTATTTATTATTAAAAAATACATATATGTTAAGCCGTATATTTTGATTAAATTCTAGTATTCCATGAATTTTGTTTAATATTAAAGAAGGAGATTAAAAGTCAGTACATTCATTTCTTGGATTTCACATATAGTCTGATAGAGAAAAAAAGGATATTTTAACTATTTAGACAACATATTCAACATACATACGCACTCATAATAACTTAGAAGTATGTGAGGTCGCTGAATTGGAGATATGCAAAGTCAGGTTTATCGTATTTCATTCATTCATTCATTCAATCATTTTTATTTAAGTACTTGGTACATGTCCCGGCCCCGCTACAGCATTACCAGGAAGTTATACATATTCTTAAATATATATAGTTACCAATATTTGTATACATATACAATAACAACAAATAGTAATAAACAATATGAGTAAATAAGTTATATTTTAAATACGCTTATGACGTATATAAGGATAAATAAAATTTTCGAAACGAATTATAATGTTCAGATAAACAAAAGAAAATATATAACTAAATAAATGCTTAGTAGTTCATAGCTGTGCAGAAGAGCTTATTGCATATGTGTACTTTAAAGTCTTCAGTTCTAAGCAGAACTTTATGTGTCATTGAATATCACTTGGACGCAATAAAATCAGTGTTCAGAACAGTCCTTATAAAAGATAGTGGTTTGGAAGTTACTACACACGTCTATAAACAGTTTAAAGATAGATGTGTAGTATTAAAATTAATAAATTCTAAAAATTTTTTCGTTTAAAAAAAACCCTTAATTAAGAACCACAAGTGACGTTCACTCTTTAATTCCGACTTCGATAGAGTTTTAAAAAAACAGAGAAAACCAGAGAATTATTTTCACTATTTCTTACTTTATTATATTATCCATATATATTTCGCTATTTTAGCCTCTTCAGTGGATATTACACTGTTAAGTTGCCAGTACTATTATAGTTCATCAAGCTATCCCAGCATGCATCGACATATGCTCCTGTATTTAAATTTATACAATTTGCATGTTCTTTAATACAGTAATGTTCTATGATGCGTCTTTTTACAAAATTTTTTTCTTTATACAAAATTTTAATATTACTACGATCAATAAGACAATTTTTAATACTGCAGTGTTGTTGCCACGGGGATTCAGTTCTGTTCAATCGAATTGCCGCCTCATGCTCCTTTAGCCTCACTTCCAGTTTTCTTCCTGTTTCTCCAACGTAGCTTTTCCGTTCTGTGCACGTACACATCAATTCATATACGACTTCTGCAACTTCTAAAGGATTCTTCGATTGTTTTTCATTTGCTTTATTAATCAGACAAATACTGTTATTTAATTTATTTTTTTGTTCACCTACTAAATTGACTGAGAACAATTCTTTAATATAAGTTTTATATTTTTCATAAAATTTGAAAATATATGGAATTTTAATATATAAGTTTTCTATTTTATTATTTTTAACATTATATCTATTATTTAAATACGAATTGTACCACTTACGTATAAGCTGTTGTGGATAGTCATTCAATAAATATTTTTTAAAAAGATTCTTA